GTCAGCTGGGCAAGTATGCTGGATGGCATACTTGTCCTGGCAAAATTTCACTTGCCCGTTTAATGGGAACAGAACAGCATGTACTGTAAATTGAAAGGTTACTTTTTTTATTATAATTTTCTACGTGACCAATCTCCAAGTGCATCATGTCTGTAGTTGTGGCTGTCAGCGGATACAGAAAATCCAGATGTGCAAATGGAAACCAAAGCCTCTTCAACTGCCATGAAGGCTTGTTTTTCCAAAGTGATAACATTACTAAATGACATATCCTGATCAAAACAGGTGATGTGATCATGCCATGTGTTTTCACAGATGCACATGCAGTACAGAGCATCAGTAGTTGGCAAAATGAAAACTGAGCCTGCAATGATTTCATTCCTGGAGAATACCACATCATCCCCAATGGCCAATCAAAATTATGATTTTATTGCAGAATAAAGCTGCAAATCTTTCTGTTTTCTGTAAGTTCCAAATGGATGACAAGTCGTCACAATGCAGGAAAGTCTTTAAGAAAATTTAAAATATGTTTTTCTTTCTTGTTTTCTCTGGTAGAGTCAAACTAAATTCGTCCAGCGGATGAGTTTTCGTATTGATTTGGTCATCCCTACGATATTTTAGTCCTCACAGATGACCGGATGACTGTGACTATGGATCCCAGAGATATATTAATTTACAGTATGTAAAGCAAAAATCTCACCTGGAACTGTACAAATGAGCTATTTGATATATCTTTCGGGCAAGTTAAGGGTATCATATAACGTTTGTATTAAATGTTCTTGTACAATGCAAGTTACTAGTACAAGTACATGCAATACATGCTTTATTAAATTAATATTAATGAAGCTTACATTAAATGGTTGTCAAATCTAGCCAGATGCTGGCAAAAATCATTATTGACTTTCAGATATTGGCCAGCTACTCTGCTCAGGGATAGCCATTTTATAGAAAAAGAGGACAAATTCAGCTTCATAAACAATTACTTAAAGACTTTGTGACAACCCAAGCCTTGCACTGACATTCAGAATTTGTCCTCTTTAACAGAAACTTCACTAAACATATAAAAATCATTAATGGAGTGTGCATGTACTTCAAACAATTTCAGATATATAGTAGAGTAGAGCTGGCTTAAGGTGGAAGAATGAAAATAAACTCAAAGACTATCAAAGTCTATGTAGACTTAGTCATGATTTAGATCTATGTACTCAAAGGGTTTTATGTACATGAATACTTTAACATTCGAAATGTGATGATGCCAGACCAGTGTTTCATATGTAAAAGGATACCATCTTTCACTATTTTATTTGTACTTTCCAAGAAGAGCGTTTCATTTGGGGACATCTTGTGGAATACCACTTTCTGAATTGAAGATTTTCCACTCCTAAAGAGATTACACAATATTTCTGAAAATGTATGGCCATGCATGACAGTGCCTCTCTCCACCCAGGGGTATAAATGGGAATCGGCAAATTTAATGCTGGGGGATAGCCCTGCAAAATTGGAGTAGCATCCCATCTACATGTAGGGAGAAGTAAAATACTCCTAGTTGCTTCATGCTACGGATACCGGAGATAAGCTCCGGCCTGATGAGCCACTTGGCTCGTATACAGAATTTACCTTTACCTTTACATTATATGAAAAACAATTCCCCATGTACATGTGGATTGAGCACAAAACCCCACGCACTGTCCCAAGAAAAGTACTTCATAGTACAAGTATGAATAAAGTTACGTCATGTTGATTCAAGTAATCATACAAGATGACATTACAATTGAAAGGTGAAAAGGTATTTAAGAACATTTCAAGATCATCCTCAAATGGAGTCTACAGCTTAACACTGTAGACACTGTTAAAAGTATTACCGTACATTTAACAATTAAGAAATAGAAAACACCTACCACATTTCTATCGAGTTATAGAAACACGGGTGGAAGTTTGGGAGAACAAGAAATGCTGTGGGAACACGAGCCCCAGGCGAGTGTTTCCACAGCTTTTTCGAATTCTCCCAAACTTCCACGAGTGTTTCTATAACTCGATAGAAACACGGGGAACATGTTTTCTATTTCTTTTAGAAAACATAGCGACAGAAAAAAGGGAAACAGTTTGTTTACTTTAATAATCAAAATGTAAATTCTCTTTGCTTGCGCTATCATTAGGTCAACAGCTCGTGCTAGTTCTGTGTCTCTATGGAGTTACACAAACACGATTTTCAACCAATCAGTGCACTTATTTTCTTTGGACTGTTTTCTAATTACACATATAAATTATAAACAGATTTTATGGTTACAACCAATATCTTCGTAGTGAGTTTCAAAATCATGCATAAAGGTGCGCAAGCTGTACATGTGTATTAATATACTAGAGAACCCATATCTCTGTTTGAAATGAACAGACCTTCTGAGACCCAACAATAGAATCCTGGGCTTATTATCACTGCTGGCCAGTTCATCTTGATCCTCAGGACCATAGCTAAACACAAGAAAATCATGCAGTTGTCAGCAGATAGATTAGTAGTGACATCATTCTAAAAATTGTACGACTTATTTCCTTATCAGCTTGTTAACATGTGCATGAGTAAACCCTGAAGGATACTAATCTCACTTAAGAATGTTCCATTAGCAATTTATTTTCCTGTGTCTAATATTATTTGCACGTCTTGAGAATTATTTACACGTGCAGGTATATCAAGATAACAAAATAATAATGAAAAATAATGGACATCAATTTATCCATTTTACCCTTTATAAAGAACATTATGGTTTAACTCTGGATCATTCAAGCTGACACGATATGAGACTTGTGAAAGACCGACCGTACTTAGAACGATTCGTTTTCTCTCTTGGACATGTACGTTGCACAAGACTGGCCGTTCGCTGTAATTTTAATCAGCTTCTTACGTATTTAATGGGAAAAGGACAAGCCTCAAAAGCAAGTCCTCAAAAGCAACTCTCGAAAAATATCCGCAGCAAGCTTGATTGGTATTTAGAACCAATTTTATATAGCAGCTTATCAAATAAGGTTGTATCTCCAAGAATTCATGTCCAGGTACCGGTCCACGTAGGCTAGTATAAGAGGCAACAGGATATTTTCTTTATAACTACAAAAACAACTGATTCCTTGAATGGACTGCAGGAATACTGAACACCACAGAGCGATTGGCAAACTGTGATATGACGAAAACTTACCCAAAATCTTTCGGAAAGGACCCCACTACACTATAGCTTCCAAAGTTCTCGTCATCTTCGAAGGACTATTTGCCGCGAATAAAAGCAAAACAAGAGAACAGCATTAATCTCAAGTACCCCACAGCTATCAGCCGCAGAAATTGGTTCAAAAGGAATTCACATAAGCTTGTATACCGTCATGTTCGGGGAAACCTTCTCTGAACGACACTTTTCAGTACGTTTTCCTCGAGTGTAAAAAATCTCTTGCAGGTCATGTGATTATCAGTCACGCTCACGCAGTTTCCGGTGACGAATTCTTCGCGAGACTCTACGAAGTTTACACGACGTTGGTCAAAGAATTACTTCGGTTTCCCGGCCTGATGCGGAAGAGTGAGCAAGGAATGCTGATCTCCTAGGCTAATATGAGCCGATCCTGCTGGCAACGACTTTGACAGAGTCAGAATGGCATCAAATGATACGATTGAGAACGAGTAAGTGAGAAAAATCCTTGCTAGCGTGATATTATTTCATGTTGTGCGTTTAACTGTGCGTTTCTCTCGCACAGTGTTGTTGTCTGTGTTGCGTAATCTGACGAAAGTAACACTCTGTCGAGTGCGTGGTAGTCATTAAGAACAAAAGCAAAGCTTACCTTGATATTTTTCAGTTGGGGCTGAGTGGAGTAAACAAAAACATTGAGTACTTGCCCATTTTAGCTGTCCCTTTAGCGGTCAATACTTTATGGCGGGTTTAGCTGAGTCATCAAAGTTTTATCAGCGAGTACTGAGAATGGCTGCTTTTAAGAATGATCCTCACGCTTCAGCTAATTAGTGATTTACATGCTAATTCTTCGACAATTTTAAGTTAGCATTTCTACGGATCATTGCCAATTTTATCATCCGATCTGGAAGAAACAACTCCTTTTACGGGCGAACAACTGCCTTGATATTTGCGGGTAACATCTTTGGTAAAAGGTCCGCCACAAAAAAAGCAAAAAAGCTTCGTGCAGTGGAAATAGCAATAGTTGCAGAGGTATTCCCTACTATAAAATTAATAAGGCGGAGACGGGAGACAGACGGTCTACGACAAAGAGTAAAAACAATAAATTAGTAAATTTGCAAGTGTGATAAGGTTATAAACAAAGTTATAAGGTAAAATAGCAAGTAATGAACATTGATTAAATCAAAAAACCAAATTGGCAAGTTCATGATCAAATCAAAAATCGCAGTTGTTCGCGCAAATGCATAGGCTTTCGTCGACTGAACGCCACTGGGGAAGACCGTAGTTTTCCGTTCGCGTCAACGGTGGTGTATTGCCCTGTTCCTGAGCCTTGTTATTAATCGTGACAAAACATACCTAGCGACTTATAAATGTCACTGGAGATGATCTACATGATCTAATCAACTATAAATCTTAGTGAACCAAGGAAAAATGCAAAGCTGATCTAACGGTTTGAGAACTATATTTAATCAGTTCCAAGATTGACTGAAAATAGCTTTTGTTAGTAAAATTCTTTTTTAAATATAGGCTAGAAAAATTATCTTAATAATTAATTAGATCCCACATAATAATATAAGAGACAGATAATTGTAACAGGGTAAAAACTTGTTTGTAACAATGTAAATACTTGTAAACACCTGCAGATAATATAAATCTTAATGAACCAAGGAAAAATGCAAAGTTGATCTTAAGGTTTGAGAACTATATTTATAAATCAGTTCCAAGATTGACTGAAAATAGCTCTCGTATTGATTTTTTTTTTCCTTGGTTGGAGTCCCGTGGTCCCTTCGTCTCGGCTGTATCAGCATTATTTGAAATTGAAACTAAAATCGGGTTGCGTTTATGCATTGTTCCGTCACCTATCGCAGCGAATCATCAAAATTATATGCATTTAAATTAAAGGAACCCTGTATTCTGTAGTTGATCCACAAATCAAGCACCCCTTTGTAGCAGTGATGACTTGGTAAGTGCTCCATGGCCAGGAATTCGAACGAAAAAGTTTCCATGCAAAAACGTACCAGGGTGTTTCAATTTTCCACTAGGATGTAAGAATATATTTCATTACAGAGTAAAATTACGCGACAGTGTTCCATGATAGTACTATAGAAACAAGATAAACACGTAATATTTAATGTTCAACTTAGCTTTCAGAGCTCCCTTTCGTGCTGAAGTTGCAGTCCACTAAGAGCGTAATCATAGTTTACCGACTTTACCGCGATGTAAGCGCAATTTTGAAAGCGCGGGGGGTCTTGGGCATGTTCCTTCATGAAACTTTCAAATGCTATTTGTTTGAAGTGCTTTGTTTTCGGTATTGTCAAGAAACACAAATGCAAAGTCTACCCTCTTCTAGACCATATACATAGGATGTCATAAAATTGCCAAAATTTTGCAGTGAAACCACCTGCCTGCGGCGTTTTATACGTTCGGTTCACGTTGTGGTGGGAGTGATGATACACCGATTTCCCTCAGCCCTTTCATATATCTCAGTTTGTGAAATCCCCATACCTTTTCATATACCCGTGGCCTGAGAAAGGTACGCTTTTAGGGCGAAACCTCCCGGTAGAGGTCATTATGGGGAGCACTCTGCCCTCCGGGGTCTTAACCTCGGAAACTTCTCAACTTAGCATTTTCAGAGAAGTATAGAATACTGTAAAGAGGCTCAGTTGCATAAGACGTTTGGTAGAAAATCTGTGAAAATTTTAGACTGCGGTGCATTGAAGTTACCATAACTTTATGGTGAAAAGACTGGGTTCATAACTGTTAATGCGTTGCTTCATAGAAGTGTGCTGTTTTGTATCGATTCTAGGTAATTTACTTTAAATTTCACTGCGCGCTTATAAGCTTCTTGTTGTGTATGGAGCATGTATCAAAGTTGCACTTCTTGTCCTTGCAGCTGTTCTAAAGCTCTTTCACAGCAGGGATTGTTTGATCTAGGATGTCTTGCACCAGCAGTAAGTATCACCAGTTACGTTTAATCTCAGAGCTACAATCATTTTTCAACCTCTTTTGACTGTTACAGTCATGTGGACCTGCAATGCCTCATGGACGCGATACACCAAATATCATAACCCAGGATGCAGCCGTATGCACTTTATGCATGCAACATGTATCAATTAATTAAGAGTTGCACGAATAAGATCAGATATTACACTCCAAGGGAGACGTCTTGAAACGATCGAAAGCAGCAGACGAGTCTTGACCGTATTTTCAGCTAAACACACAGCGAAATCAAGTCACTGTTCGTAATCAATCTAAACGTCATGCGGACTACACATACATTGCGCCAGAAATATTTACCACGTTAAGCCACTAAACACATGTGATTATATTTAGCTGATTGACCCAAACAACTGCTCACCGAAAGCATTCTAAGAAAAGCTGCCGGGGACTTGCGGGATCGTTGTACTGATGATATCTGCATGATGATCGACTTTGTGGATGTCCAGAGGGCCTCCACAGAATAGAGCTGCCTGTAGACAACTAAAATAATTCGAAAACTATTTTGTGTGCCGTAGAGCTTTTCCACACGCTAGATGCGACAATCCTGAAATTCCCTTCCCCACGCTATATAGGAGTTAAGCCCAGGCGGGAGAAGAGAGAGTCCAGGATAAGTTATATGCGCGTGCTCAGAACGCTGGCATCCCCCCGCCCCCTCCTCTCCAAGAAAGGCGTGCGCAGGCCTAGTGGCCATTTATTAATTGTAACATAGCGTATGCGCTGGTCCTAAGTAATTCCTATTAAGTCATCATGATTTTCTGCAAAGTTTCTGTCGAGTTTAGTTCCTTTTGTTAAAGTTTCGGCAAAGTGAACATCATTCTGAACAATGCAAACCCTACTTCGGGCCTTTGACTTTCACCAAGTAAGATGCTTACTAAAACTTGAGTATTTTGACTTTGTTTGTGTACATTTTTGCTAAGTGTTTTGACTTTGTTTGCCTACATTTTCATTTATTCGAGGAAGCGAATTTTTCATTGACAATTTTAGAAAGCAGAATGAGATGAAACGTTCTCGCTCAACCGTCGTTCAACTAATGTTGGCGAGTTTTTAACCAGCCAGTGGCATCCCTTTTTTCTTCACCCTGCATTGTGAGAACTTTGTAGTCAAATAAAAAATGTTTTAGCTCTGAAGTTGTTGTCGCTATGCTCTAAAAGACTTGGTTCATGTTGCAAGCTGTACGTATATCGATGGATGCATTTGAAAAGTTTGGAGAGTACTCAAGAAGCTAGAGTTGCTCTCAGCTGCGCCTTGAGCAACTCTTACGCTTGTCTAGTGCTCTGCAAACTTCCCGCGAGCATCCATAACTCGATATACGCACGCTGAACATAAACCAATTTAGGCCGCAGTCGTTCGAAGGTTGGATAACGCTATCCATTGAATGAATCGCTATCCAGTGGATGAGTTGTAACAATACAAGCCACGCAATCCTCTAAATAGTGATATATCCTGTGGATAGCTTTATCCACCTTTGGAACAACCCGGGCAAGAGATCTTTAATTTGAATGAGCAATTTAAATCTTATCGCGGGCACTCTGAGGACGCACGGGCAAATTATCCTGGACTGGACCCTGGACTCTCTTCTTCTGCCTACTTTCAACCTTCATAGCGGGAAAGCGTAATAAGCATGCGCGAGTTTTGGCTCCGCTCCAGGCTCGAAACTTCACAAAATGGCGGAAATTTCGTCGATCGTGTTAACCAAAAGAAGAGGGCTTGAACTTTATTTGCTTCCCAATTTTCCCGGCAAGCAACAACATTTTCAGGTCACTGACGGAAAGCTGGTGTATTGTTTTCGTAGTGAATCAATTTTATTTCGGACAAAATTAACCTAAGGAAGTTTTCCGAACATATTATTTCCCCACGGTATACAAGAAATGGCGGCGCGAAGACACATTTTTTTGCCCGGGAGCCTTGTTTCCTTAACAGTGAAATGCCGAAAAAATTCATATTTGCCGAAGTATAAATAATTCAACCGAACGACTCCTCGCGTACCTTATTACAGTCCGCCGTTGTTTCCACCATTGCAGAATCCCGCAGCCCGCATTATTGCCTGAGGCAAGGGGTGCACAGTTTTCTGCGCAGTACGCTTTTCCGCTCTAAAGGTTCAATCTCTGTACAGAGCGTGCGGGGAAGGGAGACTAGGTAGGGGACTGGCCCAGAGTTTGCTGTGCGCATGCAGGTCAGAGTGCATGTCTTGCCTGTATAGGGCAATGAAAGTCCATACACACATCTGGTTGCAAAAATTTTTCAAGGATACATTTTTGCACCCAGGCTTTGTCGCAACAGTTGGGGTAAAATTAAATCCCGATATATTTACTAGCTATGTTTGAAATCCCAATGTACATGTATTTATTATCTGTTTTTGATTTATCTGCACAGTTGGCCCTTATTCTGGTTCTTGCTTCTCTGAAACAGCGCACCAAATTTAAACTGGAGTGGTTCGATGGACGTCCTGGGCTACTAATGTAAGCTTTAGGTCTATACTACAAGCTATAAAACGATCAAGAGATCAAAGAGAGAACCGAAGGGTGAAAGAGTTAATCTCCCATGCATAGAGGAGGGTCTCAATGGGGTTGAATGAATGGTGAAAAAATAACTGACAACTGACAAATGGTGAAAAAATAACTGACAACTGACAAATGGTGAAAAAATAACTGACAACTGACAAAATGGTGAAAAAAATAACTGACAACTGACAAATGCCCGAAAATTGAACTGACAACTGACATTTGTAGTCATATTTACTGAGAACTGACAAAAGGCTTTAGCAATTGCTATTCGTTTGAAATTTACTGACAATAACTTTTTTCGTACGTGGAAATGTTATTACTCTATTACTTTTGTTTAATATGTATAACCCTTAATAATTAGCATGTTCACTGTGTTGACTGACCACAGCGAGCCAAATTGATTAGCAAACCTTTAAACTCCTGGTGTTGTGGAAACTATTGTTGGTAAGCTATTGTGTTTTGGTTTGGTTATTGCCGGAATTGTCTACTAAATCTCTTTTTTCACGTCATTTGGCGATCACACCGCCGGGCTCCGCAACACTAAGAGCTACTAAGAAACGATATTTTCATAGTCTGTTTTTTTACAGCTGGTCGAGTGCGCGAGCGAAACAAAAACCGCGGGAGATTAACTTAGCACAAACGCAAAGGGGTAGGGGATGGATAAACGAGAAAATCATTAGGGTTTTGTAATTAACGGCCACCTTTCTACAACGACTATTTTCGTCTGTTCCCAAGGTGGCCGTTGTGGAGAGGTTCGGCTGTGTTCTCTTTAAAATGTGCCAACTAGTAGAGGTTTAAGCCATTTATAGCCTTCAGTAAATTATTGCCGAATGTCGGCAAACGAGGGTAAAAACTAACCGCAAAACGCGCGAATTTGGCTTCCGGGTGCCATGCTTTGCCATATGGAAGCGTCGATGCCTCACGGGAGCAAAGCTTGACATACCGAAAAATTCGTAAATGTAAGTTTGTGAAGAGGGTGGCTTCCTCATATGAAAAGATCTGGTGGTTCTGGAGACTTGCCATNTTGTAGCAGTGATGACTTGGTAAGTGCTCCATGGCCAGGAATTCGAACGAAAAAGTTTCCATGCAAAAACGTACCAGGGTGTTTCAATTTTCCACTAGGATGTAAGAATATATTTCATTACAGAGTAAAATTACGCGACAGTGTTCCATGATAGTACTATAGAAACAAGATAAACACGTAATATTTAATGTTCAACTTAGCTTTCAGAGCTCCCTTTCGTGCTGAAGTTGCAGTCCACTAAGAGCGTAATCATAGTTTACCGACTTTACCGCGATGTAAGCGCAATTTTGAAAGCGCGGGGGGTCTTGGGCATGTTCCTTCATGAAACTTTCAAATGCTATTTGTTTGAAGTGCTTTGTTTTCGGTATTGTCAAGAAACACAAATGCAAAGTCTACCCTCTTCTAGACCATATACATAGGATGTCATAAAATTGCCAAAATTTTGCAGTGAAACCACCTGCCTGCGGCGTTTTATACGTTCGGTTCACGTTGTGGTGGGAGTGATGATACACCGATTTCCCTCAGCCCTTTCATATATCTCAGTTTGTGAAATCCCCATACCTTTTCATATACCCGTGGCCTGAGAAAGGTACGCTTTTAGGGCGAAACCTCCCGGTAGAGGTCATTATGGGGAGCACTCTGCCCTCCGGGGTCTTAACCTCGGAAACTTCTCAACTTAGCATTTTCAGAGAAGTATAGAATACTGTAAAGAGGCTCAGTTGCATAAGACGTTTGGTAGAAAATCTGTGAAAATTTTAGACTGCGGTGCATTGAAGTTACCATAACTTTATGGTGAAAAGACTGGGTTCATAACTGTTAATGCGTTGCTTCATAGAAGTGTGCTGTTTTGTATCGATTCTAGGTAATTTACTTTAAATTTCACTGCGCGCTTATAAGCTTCTTGTTGTGTATGGAGCATGTATCAAAGTTGCACTTCTTGTCCTTGCAGCTGTTCTAAAGCTCTTTCACAGCAGGGATTGTTTGATCTAGGATGTCTTGCACCAGCAGTAAGTATCACCAGTTACGTTTAATCTCAGAGCTACAATCATTTTTCAACCTCTTTTGACTGTTACAGTCATGTGGACCTGCAATGCCTCATGGACGCGATACACCAAATATCATAACCCAGGATGCAGCCGTATGCACTTTATGCATGCAACATGTATCAATTAATTAAGAGTTGCACGAATAAGATCAGATATTACACTCCAAGGGAGACGTCTTGAAACGATCGAAAGCAGCAGACGAGTCTTGACCGTATTTTCAGCTAAACACACAGCGAAATCAAGTCACTGTTCGTAATCAATCTAAACGTCATGCGGACTACACATACATTGCGCCAGAAATATTTACCACGTTAAGCCACTAAACACATGTGATTATATTTAGCTGATTGACCCAAACAACTGCTCACCGAAAGCATTCTAAGAAAAGCTGCCGGGGACTTGCGGGATCGTTGTACTGATGATATCTGCATGATGATCGACTTTGTGGATGTCCAGAGGGCCTCCACAGAATAGAGCTGCCTGTAGACAACTAAAATAATTCGAAAACTATTTTGTGTGCCGTAGAGCTTTTCCACACGCTAGATGCGACAATCCTGAAATTCCCTTCCCCACGCTATATAGGAGTTAAGCCCAGGCGGGAGAAGAGAGAGTCCAGGATAAGTTATATGCGCGTGCTCAGAACGCTGGCATCCCCCCGCCCCCTCCTCTCCAAGAAAGGCGTGCGCAGGCCTAGTGGCCATTTATTAATTGTAACATAGCGTATGCGCTGGTCCTAAGTAATTCCTATTAAGTCATCATGATTTTCTGCAAAGTTTCTGTCGAGTTTAGTTCCTTTTGTTAAAGTTTCGGCAAAGTGAACATCATTCTGAACAATGCAAACCCTACTTCGGGCCTTTGACTTTCACCAAGTAAGATGCTTACTAAAACTTGAGTATTTTGACTTTGTTTGTGTACATTTTTGCTAAGTGTTTTGACTTTGTTTGCCTACATTTTCATTTATTCGAGGAAGCGAATTTTTCATTGACAATTTTAGAAAGCAGAATGAGATGAAACGTTCTCGCTCAACCGTCGTTCAACTAATGTTGGCGAGTTTTTAACCAGCCAGTGGCATCCCTTTTTTCTTCACCCTGCATTGTGAGAACTTTGTAGTCAAATAAAAAATGTTTTAGCTCTGAAGTTGTTGTCGCTATGCTCTAAAAGACTTGGTTCATGTTGCAAGCTGTACGTATATCGATGGATGCATTTGAAAAGTTTGGAGAGTACTCAAGAAGCTAGAGTTGCTCTCAGCTGCGCCTTGAGCAACTCTTACGCTTGTCTAGTGCTCTGCAAACTTCCCGCGAGCATCCATAACTCGATATACGCACGCTGAACATAAACCAATTTAGGCCGCAGTCGTTCGAAGGTTGGATAACGCTATCCATTGAATGAATCGCTATCCAGTGGATGAGTTGTAACAATACAAGCCACGCAATCCTCTAAATAGTGATATATCCTGTGGATAGCTTTATCCACCTTTGGAACAACCCGGGCAAGAGATCTTTAATTTGAATGAGCAATTTAAATCTTATCGCGGGCACTCTGAGGACGCACGGGCAAATTATCCTGGACTGGACCCTGGACTCTCTTCTTCTGCCTACTTTCAACCTTCATAGCGGGAAAGCGTAATAAGCATGCGCGAGTTTTGGCTCCGCTCCAGGCTCGAAACTTCACAAAATGGCGGAAATTTCGTCGATCGTGTTAACCAAAAGAAGAGGGCTTGAACTTTATTTGCTTCCCAATTTTCCCGGCAAGCAACAACATTTTCAGGTCACTGACGGAAAGCTGGTGTATTGTTTTCGTAGTGAATCAATTTTATTTCGGACAAAATTAACCTAAGGAAGTTTTCCGAACATATTATTTCCCCACGGTATACAAGAAATGGCGGCGCGAAGACACATTTTTTTGCCCGGGAGCCTTGTTTCCTTAACAGTGAAATGCCGAAAAAATTCATATTTGCCGAAGTATAAATAATTCAACCGAACGACTCCTCGCGTACCTTATTACAGTCCGCCGTTGTTTCCACCATTGCAGAATCCCGCAGCCCGCATTATTGCCTGAGGCAAGGGGTGCACAGTTTTCTGCGCAGTACGCTTTTCCGCTCTAAAGGTTCAATCTCTGTACAGAGCGTGCGGGGAAGGGAGACTAGGTAGGGGACTGGCCCAGAGTTTGCTGTGCGCATGCAGGTCAGAGTGCATGTCTTGCCTGTATAGGGCAATGAAAGTCCATACACACATCTGGTTGCAAAAATTTTTCAAGGATACATTTTTGCACCCAGGCTTTGTCGCAACAGTTGGGGTAAAATTAAATCCCGATATATTTACTAGCTATGTTTGAAATCCCAATGTACATGTATTTATTATCTGTTTTTGATTTATCTGCACAGTTGGCCCTTATTCTGGTTCTTGCTTCTCTGAAACAGCGCACCAAATTTAAACTGGAGTGGTTCGATGGACGTCCTGGGCTACTAATGTAAGCTTTAGGTCTATACTACAAGCTATAAAACGATCAAGAGATCAAAGAGAGAACCGAAGGGTGAAAGAGTTAATCTCCCATGCATAGAGGAGGGTCTCAATGGGGTTGAATGAATGGTGAAAAAATAACTGACAACTGACAAATGGTGAAAAAATAACTGACAACTGACAAATGGTGAAAAAATAACTGACAACTGACAAAATGGTGAAAAAAATAACTGACAACTGACAAATGCCCGAAAATTGAACTGACAACTGACATTTGTAGTCATATTTACTGAGAACTGACAAAAGGCTTTAGCAATTGCTATTCGTTTGAAATTTACTGACAATAACTTTTTTCGTACGTGGAAATGTTATTACTCTATTACTTTTGTTTAATATGTATAACCCTTAATAATTAGCATGTTCACTGTGTTGACTGACCACAGCGAGCCAAATTGATTAGCAAACCTTTAAACTCCTGGTGTTGTGGAAACTATTGTTGGTAAGCTATTGTGTTTTGGTTTGGTTATTGCCGGAATTGTCTACTAAATCTCTTTTTTCACGTCATTTGGCGATCACACCGCCGGGCTCCGCAACACTAAGAGCTACTAAGAAACGATATTTTCATAGTCTGTTTTTTTACAGCTGGTCGAGTGCGCGAGCGAAACAAAAACCGCGGGAGATTAACTTAGCACAAACGCAAAGGGGTAGGGGATGGATAAACGAGAAAATCATTAGGGTTTTGTAATTAACGGCCACCTTTCTACAACGACTATTTTCGTCTGTTCCCAAGGTGGCCGTTGTGGAGAGGTTCGGCTGTGTTCTCTTTAAAATGTGCCAACTAGTAGAGGTTTAAGCCATTTATAGCCTTCAGTAAATTATTGCCGAATGTCGGCAAACGAGGGTAAAAACTAACCGCAAAACGCGCGAATTTGGCTTCCGGGTGCCATGCTTTGCCATATGGAAGCGTCGATGCCTCACGGGAGCAAAGCTTGACATACCGAAAAATTCGTAAATGTAAGTTTGTGAAGAGGGTGGCTTCCTCATATGAAAAGATCTGGTGGTTCTGGAGACTTGCCATCTCATGTTTATTGGAAAGCAAATTAATTTGGACAGATAGATCTAGACAGACAGACAGACAGACATGGGAACTCTCGCCATTCAGGCCAAATTACAAATTAAACAGACTTTATGTTTCTTCAGACCGGTTGACTTCCTTGGTAGTCATAGCAACAGGTGGACTGTTGTTGCCACATATGGAGCTACAGCCAGTGCAATGCTTGCCTTATTGATTGGAAATGGCGGAATAATTGTTTTCGAATCCCCTTGGCTTAAAAGTGAGTAAATGTTTTACCTTGACTTGTCATTACAATTAAGGATAACAAAACTTGCGATTCGAAATGTTTTTTTTTTCCCCTTAAAACGACTTAATTTTCCTACCACCATGAAGTAGTCGTTACTCTTGCAATCGTCATTTCGTAAGTCTTTATTAAAGGAGAAGGTCACTCCAAAAAACGTATATTTTTTTTCAATGCTAATAAAAACCTTGCACTAAATTAGCCAATCACCGAAGTTTCAGCCTCTAAAGCCCAAAATTCGAACATCGTTGCCGCCATTTTGAACAGCAGCAGCCATGCCGCGTCTTCGTGACGTCATTCCGTCCAAGGGATTTTGACCAAATGGGTTCCGATGAGCCTTTTAACTACCACCATGGGTTATGGCTGCTCTTGAGCCATTTTGTTTTGATCCAAACATGCTCCAAACTCCGAAATGATAGCATTGAAGATAGTGAGGTGGATAAATGCTTGAAAAAAAAAAAAAGAAAAAAGAAAGAAAAAAGAATAAAGAAAAATGATTTTGCTGACCTTAAGGATGCCAAGTCAAATGCAGGTTTTTTTTTCTCCTCGCCAATTTCGAGTCGGATGGAATGATGTCACATATACAATAAACACAGCCTGGCTGCCAGGACAGTTTCAAAATGGCGGTCTCTGAGGTGGCTTCTTTCGAGACGAATTCTTCAGGATAGAGGGCACTTCAGAGGCTGAAACTTCGGTGAGTGGAAAATCTGAATATTTACTGAGCTTTTTGGAGTGACCTTCTTTAAATGTCAAACTAGTGTGCTTGAAAGTATGCGTGTTAGGTATGAATTAATGGTTTTTTGTGTATGTCGTGATTAATTTTAGCTAAGACATGACCTGACTGCATTAGCTTAGACTACCTGTGGATTCATATTATTAAAAATTACCAAAAAATTAAAATACTCGAGAAGTTATAAGGTTCTGAAAAAGAGGAAGGGGCGGAAGTGCTGTAATGTTAACGGTCGGTGATTTTCCGCTGATTTCTTAGCTTTCAGTTAAATTTCAGCTTTTTTCTCAGCTGTCAATGAATTTTGCAGATCTGGGATCTAACTGAGCTATCAATTAAAAACGTATCAATTTTCTGCTGGCAGCTGTATTGTAAAAAAATCTCCAAGTACGTACCTAATGCAAAGTTCAACACAGAATATTACAGAGGCAACTTAACCGTTCATCAGTCGAGTAATTCAGTCAGCGTAGAATGATGTTAAACTATAGTTTTTACAGGGAAATCGTTATGAAACCAGGCAAAGTTCTTTGTTGTATGTCTTTGTTTGGCCACTTTGGGGGTTGACCTTGCACAAAACTTGGCAAAATACAAAAGGTGGTTCTGTGTGCTCATGCAACCATAGAAACAAAAGATGTCCAGGGTCAAGGACGTTCCAGCATAAATCTTAGCCCGTTTGTTTACGTCTTTGATGTTTACCGGCCTTCCTAAGCATATCCCTCTATTAACTATGGCTAAACTAACACTAACATTAAACTCTTTGTTAAGTTTTCGACGCACTTTTGCATTGGCTGTCCTTACTTATGAAACACTGTTTTACCCATTTTATTTCTTATCACTTTATGGAGGATAAACACAAATTTAAAAGTTTATGTGATTAGTGGTGAATCTATCTTTTTAGTTTTTGAAGGTATCGTAGCCGTTCTTGTGTATGGAATACTGTTCTACCCATTTTTTGCTTGCCTTACAACTGAATACAAGCTAGTTGGGTCACTTCTTGGCTTTGTCTATGGTGCACTAAGGCACGTGTGGGTAATCGGCCTGTACAGAATTTTGCTGGTGCTTGTTATAATTGTAGTTTTCGCCCGACTGAACATCACACCCTCACAGCCGTTTCTTTTATTTTTCCTAGTAAACCCTTGCGTTTAGCGCTGGTTTAGAACCCTGTGGTTTGCAACTTTTATTTGCACGACAAACAAAGGACATACAAGTGAATATATGAAAGATCATATATTGAACTACGGAGAAAAATACGAAGACATCCTTGATCATTGCAGTTATAAATTACACAACTTAAGCAGCTGTGAAATTAAAGCCTGGAAAAAATTCAGGCCTGAACGAGATTCAAACCCATGACTTTTGCGATACCGGTGCAGGCTACCAACGAAGCTATCAAGCCAACTGGGAACTGATCATGTTGTGAGTTCGTAATGTACCCGTAGATGGTGAAGAATGCAAGTTGACATATGAAAGATCACTATATTTGAACTACGGAGAAAGATATGAAGACATGATCTGGATCATCGCCGTTATATACAAAACTTATGCAGTAGCGAAACTAAAGCCGTTTAAAAAAAAAATAATCAGTTGTGCACGGAATTCAAACCCATAACCTCTGCGATACCGGTGCAGTTCTCTACCAACTGAGCTATTAAGCCAACCCAGTTCGAGCCTGAATTGTTTTCGTCGAGAAGCGATCCATCGCAGAAGAAATATACAGGAAAGATCGCCGAGACAGACAATCTACACAAATGAACTACATGTGCAAGAAAAAAAAAAAATGGACTATTCAATCTACCCACTCCTCATCATTTTGCGTTCGCAGTCAATCCAGTCCCTCGCGCTTTCGACGAACGGTTAGGCCTGGTTCACACTAGCGATATAACGACATAACGACAATATCGACATAGGGACATGACGAAAAGATCATTTTGTCCTACTGTCGTTTTGTTCATGCTGTACATGCTATGTTGCTGTTATGTCATTATGTAAGGATGTTCACGCTTTTATGTCGTTATGTCGTTATATCGTTATCTAGTATAAATCTACTAGCGTTCTATCACGAATGCCGTTCTCTGATTGGCTACGCTACTCATTGTCTTTTTAAACAATAGAGTGCTTCTGTCGAGGAACTATCGGCTGATAGTTGGCCCTCAGAAATTTGGTGTTCTTAGAACAAATATGCTAGTTTTAAGAACATCAAATTTCCGAGGGGCAACTATCAGACCCATAGTTCCGAGACAAACACTTTATTGTCTTTATTGTTCGTCTCTAAATTTTCTTCCGCGCGCCAGTTCAAAAATCATATTGAATTATTTTCAACTTTTTCAGATGAAAGCCGTGAAAGCCAAATCGGTAAAATTTAAAAAGGAAAATAAACAAAACCCACTTAATACAATTTCATTTGTTTATTTATTTTATTATTATTATTTTCTTTTTAAAGCTCGCTTGCTTACAGAAAATTTTTCACGGACGAGTGCTATCCATCCGGGTATTTTCCTCGGACGGGCATTATAAGCTGATAGTGTCTCTCCGCGAATGAACACTATCGCGACACGTGATCGATTTAAACCAATAAGAATAGGAGAAAATTTAGTGGTGAACTATAATCTGTGATAGATAGTGAGTAGCGTAGCAGGATTCCCTTGTTAACAAAGTGACGACCGCTTCTTGGCGTTTTCGAAGTGTCTATGAAGAGGATTTAGATTATGTTTTGAACGACTTGTAGATTTTTTACTAAAACAATTAGATTATTCGCTCTCGATTTCTATCGCGCGATAGTTGACTAGCGCCCTCGTCAACTATCATCCGACAGAACTCTCGAGCTCATAATCGTATTGTTTAATAGTGTGAACTAGGCCTTATAGAAAATAGAAAGTTTATGAGAAGACTACTGCGAATAAAGAAGGGTCTTTTAAATCTTGTTCTATCTGAACTGAGTTCAGAGAGTTGTGAAATCTTGACAAACCCATTGCGAATGCTTATAAATAAACTTTTGATATTTTGTACGAACTTCCTTAGCTCATCTTCGGTTTATCTTCTTAATTCCAGGTTGTCTTTTCAACTTGCGACACAGATACGCTGCTGTATTGTTTTTAAAGTAAGGGCAATTCCTTTGTTAAGTACATCATTGATGTCTCATGGATGTTTTGAATTTGTATTTTGTTATGTTGAGGCAAAAAGATTTTCTCTTAAGTACTAATAAGGAAACTTTACTTACGTCGTTGCTTACATTTTTTCCTAATGAGCATGCGAATGCTTATTAGAGTATTAGTTTTGCATTAGTATTATTTTATGAATCTGCGTTTTCTTTCCTTTTTTCAGGAATTCGGACTGTCCCCGTTATCACTCATTCTACCGCGGGTACCTACTGACATTTGCCTGATCTTTATTGTCGCGAGGTTTGCTGTCCTCCTCTCGCTACGATTTCGACAAAGATGGCTCCAATCAGCTGTGAGTAGAAGATGTTCTTCGAAAAAAAACGCAAGATTATGTGCTTTTATAGTAGTGCCACGATTGGTTTAATGAGGGGTAACGCGTTTTTTTCCACATTTATTTACTCAGTTAAATTCTCGCATCTGTAATTTACAGCAAAATTGTATCATTCCCACGCGAACGAGGAAAAGTAGATCAGAAGCCGTGCTGTTTCGCACAAGTGTATCAGTTTAAAATAGTCCTCTCAATATCCACCACTAGCAACCGACATTAAGGATAATAATATTTGTAGTATATACAAAACCGGAAGAATAAAATCCCCGAAAAAATAGACTCATATGACTGCAAAAAGTCTTTCGCAGCTAAATTCGAGCACAAAATGTTCAACAGTACAAAAAAGTCACGTGATACATTAGGTGATCAACAAGAGGAATCAAACGTGTTTCGTGTTTTTAGTGAAATATTACAAAACGCTGAGCACAGCGGAAAAAAAGGTTCCTGGTTTCCTACCACAAAAGAGCGAGAAATTTTAGCAGACTATGAAGCAGCTATCCCAACCAACACAAAGAAAAGTACAACACTCGGCTTGGCAGTATCTTCAAGTACGGTTTATTATGTTTAGCCGTGAATTTATTGGAAAAACTGACACAAAATGATTTGTCTATAATCGCAGTTTATTCTGATCTGTCAATGGTAAGCTGCAGGTTGTATGTGTGTTTAGGGAGGTGGGGGAGGGGGGGGGGGGGTGGNNNGGGGGGGGGGGGGGGGGGGGGGGGGGGGGGTGGAGAAGGCCGGTCATAGGCAGGGGAGTTGAACTCAGATAATTTTTTCTGTTCAAATGCTCAACCCCAGGGAAGTCACCCTTAGTCAAAAGAGTGCAAATTCCCAGCCCCCATCCCCTTAATCAAACAGGCATAGGTCAAATAAGAACATCAGAAATATGGATATACAGAGATTATAAAGTAGTAAAAGGGAACAAGCAGCAACTTCAAAAACAATTTTTTTTTCACAGTAGTTATTGAAGCCTCGTCAACGACCATAGCCTTTCGGTTCTCACCGTACTGAACAAGAACCTAAATAGTAAATATGAATAAGTACAATAAATATGCTTATGAATTCAATGAAGCATACACAAGTTGCATTGCATAAAGAAAATTCACGAATATGGGAACACATGCAAAAAATATGCACCAAATTCACCAAAATACAAAAGAAACAAAAGATCTTCTATTTTACTGACGTCTCAACCTAGATAGAAAGATCTGATGACCTTTATTATATAACACGGAGAGCAGATTCACTCAAGTACCTGTCTTTCGCTCAGGGCGCTAAGAAAGCAGAGGAAATTGCAGAGAACTGATTTGCTTCAAGTGACTTCTGGGTATTTTCAAAATGGCGATACTCTTTTCCAGTCTTTCTCGGTCATCTAAGATGACGATTATCCGAGATGGCGTCAGTTAAAGTCAAAAGTCCCTACCCCCGGAACTCGACGAACGATCAAAAGTCCCTACCACGGGCAGACTTGTTAAATCAAATCCCCCGCCTAATGCTCGGCCTCCTCTTTTCCCCTCCCTTTCACTTCCCCCCTCACCCCTCTCCTTAGCTGCTTAACATTGATAGTTACATTATAAAGACTTCAATTAAGTGTTATTTGTTTACAGGTTAACGAAATTAAACATTAAATTTTATAAAATGTGCATGGTTTCAAAAACAAGAAGACTTTACAACTTCTTCTGAAGAAATCTAGCCGGAGAAATCTAAACAGTACTTTCAAAAGTTCTAGAAGACGCGACGGAAGTTTTAAAATCAAAAAGTTGCTCAGCTTCAGTGTGAATTTTCCGGCAGCATCTTCCTGCAAAAATCGCGAAGATTGAGCTAAACTTATCTTTTCGATAGTTTGGGTGCTAAAATGTTGATAAGACACACTATCCAGAGTTTGAATCGCTAAACAGAATACGTGAAAAACGCTATTCACTGGTTTGATCCCTGTCCTGATTGGTGAAGATAAGGAAAATACATCACTCGGGCGCGGACATCAGATTTAGTGTGAGTTAGTGAGTGGTATATTTTTGTCAGTTAAACACTTGTGACTGCATACTGAAGGATGGTAACGATGTTTCAAAGTGAAATAAGCAAAGAAACACAAAGATAACAAGGCCAGTAAAGATTTCAGAGTTCAAAGATGCCAAACTTGTGACCAGAAGCCTGACGCTAGACTACTTATAATACTGAAGAAGAGAAGTAAAACGAGAAGTGAAAACAACATTTTTGTCATTGCTATAACCTTTCTTATATTTCTTTCTCATTTCAGGAAAGTGATTCTAATTCAAGCTCTTTGGTAAAAGAGCCAGATATTATTCATGTGAAGCTGACATTAGGCCAGGGATCGCCTTAGTAAGAATAGTGTTACTTGTTCATATTTTTCTAAAGAAAGAGAAAGCATGATACATCTATACGTATTACCGCACCCAAACTTGTAATAAATACGATTAGGTGGCGTATCAGGCTGATTTGGTCTCACCATGGGCATTTTGGCTGGACTGTGTCTCGCAAAAATGTGGACCGTGGCGAGACAAAACGGGCCTGATATGTTGCCCAGAGTACCAGAATTGTACGCTTAGGTATAAGAATCTCGCAGAATTACAGGCTATGTAATATTTTGTATTCGCTCCGTACTAAACCGGTCCAACCGGGATACTACAGTGTAATAATGTCATTTTTTATTATATCTCTCAGTTACTACGCACCCTGTGATTGGTCAATTTAGCTGACCGTATTCTACTGTACGGCCAGCTAATGTTGAAAAGCTGTTTTTGTTGCCAAAATTTCTCGTGTATGTATTTTGCCTGTTCATGGTACTCATATGTTAATAAATCAGGCATAACCATTTTAATTGATTTTTATTTATTTATTTACTTATTTATTTATTTTTTTGTTCAGAAGTATATTTTTCTTCTTATATTGGTGATACTTTTATGTGTTTGTTCCTCTTTCCGTTATTTTACCAGCTATTCGGATGGAGGGAAATGGGTTTTGAAGCTACTGTACTTCATTTATAGACCCAGAACAGGTATGCAATCTTTTTTTCCTTAATGAAATTACAAAAAAAGCACACCGCGCAGTTTAGAAATTTACTACGCGCGCTGTGATATATGGCTTCAAACAAACCAAAACAATTACAAACATTTAGGTGCATAACAATTTTAAAACAACAGCAGCAAGTATCGAAGCACTCAAAATTTGTTCTTGGGCTTTAATTTTAATTCTGGACTTATTTTCCAGGGACATTTAATTGTATCAGTACGACGACAAGCTATTTCACAGTTCATACAAATACATAAAAATACTCATAGATGACGTAGCTTACCTTTCTGATTTCAGATTTTAAATTCTCCACTCAGCTGATATCAACGGTGGTGCTCGCTGGGATCGCCATCTTTCAAGTTGGTCAATTGTTGGTTATGTGCGCCTTATGAATATTATATTTTTACCTACCCCTATTTAAAGTTTCCGTTTAAAGCTCTATTGGTCATATTTTGTAACTTTTCTTAACATTTGTCAGGGAACAAGTGATGTGTCAATGGTTTGGTCACTTGACTTTATGTTTCTTTGGTAGCCAAGTTTTTAAAAGGTTTTTTTAACCGAAATTGAATCTCTCCAAAAGTCTGCCGAATTTCTACTCAATTCAGATTTTAGATGTAAACGATTTTTTTAGAATCTTAAAAGTTCTATTCTCTTGATATTTGTTACAACTTTTTTTGCATCAGTTTGGGAGCTGTTGTCACATTTGAAATCCAAGATGGATGGTCCATTATGGCGAATAATTTAAAATTTGACGTCATGATCGATCCGTACACACCTTATCATACTTTTAGCGATACAAAGGAGTAGGACATCTCCCCCCACCACACAGTTTGCCATATAATGTCCGTCTCTCTGTCTATTCGTTCGTCCGTCCTTGCTTGAATACAATATCCCACAGTATTCTTGGAAAATAGTATTTGCGGTGTACATCTCTGGACATTCTCGTCCCCAGAGGCCGCGCTTCTTTTGGTCAGCACCAAGAATCGCGATCTCTGGGAAGGTCCAACACCGGAAGTCTGTGATTTACGGACGTCCTGTCATTCTGCGCATGCTCAGTGTCAAGTCTGACAAATCCGATTGGCTGAGAATACGAAACGATTACTCTGCATATGCCCGGAAAATTGAACCTTCCCAAAGGTCGCGATTCTAGGTGTTGACCAAAAGGAGCGCGGCCTCTGGGGACGAGAATTATCTCTGGACAGAATCGTTGTTAACCGCACATCGTTTCTCTTTTAGATGTTGTTGTTGGAAGTCATAGTTTTAGAGAATTTGAAAGAAGATTTGAGCAATATTTTGGGAATCAAACTTTTTCGTTTATTGCAAGGTACACGTAATAATACTCATAATTATTATATGACTTGTGTTTGTAACCGATATAATATATAATATATAATATATAGTTGATTAGCTAATTCTAGGGCATTATTCTCCCGTAATGCGCACGGGCCGATTACAGGCCTGCAAAACAAAGCAAAAATCCATGTAATAAAGAACTTATTAACCTCGAACGTTCGGTCTTTACGGGGAAACTCAAACCTCGGCCTTGCCGTATTAACCTCGCTATCAGAGAACTTAAGCAAACCACGACGGCAACGGCAACGGCAACGTCGCTAAACAAAAGGTTTAATGAGCAGAACAATGGCTGTGCACGTTCGTTATAATTCTTGGTATATTTCTTTGCCGTCCTCTGCAAAACAACATCGTGAAATGACCAAATTCTGCGTTGTCTGGAGAACGTGAACCACAACCGCTAATTTTTAAATTTTTATTTCGAATTTATCGATGTGTCCCAGATTCCGTTTTGTAGGGTGGCGAATGGTAAATGCGAGACTTTGCGAGACGGCGAGACAAGCGTTTTTCTTTGCGAGCCCGAGACATTTTGACTCTTTAAATTGCGAGACCGAGACTTCAAAGTGTTTTGAGTGCAAGTGCGAGAGTATCAGACTCTTAAAATTCGAGCCCCAGATTTAGT